ATGGTTGATTCCAGAATCTAATGAATGAATCCAGTATTTAGTAAATGATTCCAGTATACAGCTGCTAACTGCAATGTTAAAATAGAGGTTGTGACATTTCTTCTGCTCTTGTCAATCTTGGCTCTGTCTCTCACTAGGATTTCTATCGCAGTCTTTCAAAGTTGCTCGGACTTTCAAGGTTCCTCAGCTTACAGGTAAAAGTCGGAATTGAGTAAGAGAGGCTAGTATATATATCAGCATACATTATATTCGCGTTTTGAACGCCATATTTTTACATTGAGGTTGAGTTATCTTGCATTGACTTGTTTTGAATTTGGGATAGCGTTGTGGTTAACCCTTTCAGTGACGACTTTTTATTTGTCATGATAAAATTATGAAATTTGGTACACATATTACTTATTTTTTTTTCTTAATTTTTGAAATTTCGAAAAAATTAAGAAAATATTGAAAAGCGGTGTACACTACAGTGGACTGGGTGACCGAAAGGGTTAAGTTGCTATTACGTTTGCTTGCTTGGTTAGGTTACTTTGTAGTTGACTCGAGCATTAAAGCTAATCTTAGCGTTTACCTTTCAAATTGTTGTGAAGTTAGCAGTCATGATGTTCATTTTTAATTATTTTATTCTAATTAAAATTAAAACCCAATTAATAATAAATTAGTCATTATACTCATTATACTAATCTAAAAATAATAAAGAAAATGACATAACCAAGACGGCTAAACCCGAATGTTTCTAGATCTAGGTATAGAGTTAGTTCTAGTTTTACACTAGCACTGTTACACTATCTGCGAAGTGCAATGTCCATAGTAAGTGGTTCTAGTATTCAAAGATTAGATGCAGTATACTAGTAACTATTTCCAATGCTTAGTGGTTGAATGCAGTATCTAATACATGATTCCAATATCCATCTGCTAAGTGCAATGTCCAAAGCGAATGGTTTTAATATCCAACAGTCAGATATAGTATGTTTAGTAATTATTTCCAGTACTCAGTGGTTTACTCTAGTATGTAATGAATGAATTTGTATCGCAGTCTTTCAAGGTTGCTCAGACTTTCAAAGTTCCTCAGCTTGCAGGTAAGAGTCGGAATTGAGTAAGAGAGGCTAAGATATGCTGTCAGCATACATTACATTCGCGTTTTGAACCCCACATTTTTACATTAGGGTTGAGTTATCTTGCATTGACTTGATTTGAATTTGGGATAGCGTTGAGTTTAGGTTATCTTGCTTTGGAGTTAAGTTACATTATGGTTAAGTTGCTATTACGTTTACTTGCTTGTTGTGAAGGTTGCAGTATTAACCTAGATTGTTCTTATATTATGATTAGGGCCCGGAACTTTTGTAACGGTACGATACGATTTACCCCCTCCACTTGTTCTCCTAGAAAATGAGTCGGTGGCGTCAAGTCAACACACCTGATCGGTTGTTATTGACGACCGACGAACGGTTTTTTNAATAATAAATTAGTCATTATACTAATCTAAAAATAATAAAGAAAATGACATAACCAAGACGGCTAAACCCGAATGTTTCTATATCTAGGTCTAGAGTTAGTTCTACATAAAACCGATTCCAGTATCCATCTGCGAAGTGCAATGTCCATAGTAAGTGGTTCTACTATTCAAAGATTAGATGCAGTATACTAGTAACTATTTCCAATGCTCAGTGATTGAATGCAGTATCTAATACATGATTCCAATATCCAGTGGTATTAATTCCAGCATGTAGTAGTTAGATACAGTATCCTTGGTACTTATTTCCAGTACTGCATGGTTGATTCCAGTATTTAATAAATGATTCCAATATCCATCTGCTAAGTGCAATGTCCAAAGTGATTGGTTTTAATATCCAACAGTCAGATGTTTAGTAATTAGTTCCAGTACTCAGTGGTTTACTCCAGTATGTAATGAATGAATCCAGTATTTAGTAAATGATTCCAGTATACAGCTGCTAAGTGCAATGTTAATAGAGGTTGTATCATTTCTTCTGGTCTTGTCAGTCTTGATTCTGTCTCTCACTAGGAATCGTAGTCTTTCAAGGTTGCGCAGACTTTCAAAGTTCCTCAGCTTGCAGGTAAGAGTCCGAATTGAGTAAGAGAGGCTAGGATATGCTGTCAGCATACATTACATTCGCGTTTTGAACCCCACATTTTTACATTAGGGTTGAGTTACCTTGCATTGACTTGATTTGAATTTGGGATAGCGTCGAGTTTAGGTTATCTTGCTTTCGAGTTAAGTTACATTATGGTTAAGTTGCTATTATTAGTATTTGCTATTGCTTGTTGTGAAGTTTGCAGTATTAACCTAGATTGTTCTTATGTTATGATGTTTATGTCACATTGACGTTTGAGTTGTAATTTGACCTTGACAAAGGAAAAAAAAGGATTTAGGACAAAAAATTACCAAATAATTATTTATTATTAACGAATTTTTACTTTCATTTTTAATTAATTTATTCTAATTAAAATTAAAACCCAATTAATAATAAATTAATCATTATACCAATCTAGAAATAATAAAGAAAATGACATAACCAAGACGGCTAATCCCGAATGTTTCTAGTTCTAGATCTAGTGTTATTTCTAGCTTTAGTTCAACCTACAACTGATTCCAGTATCCATCTGCGAAGTGCAATGTCCATAGTAATTGGTTCTAGTATCTAAAGGTTAGATGCAGTATACTAGTACCTATTTCCAATGCTTAGTGGTTGAATGCAGTATCTAATACATGATTCCAATATCTAGTGGCGAAGTGCAATGTCCATAGCGATTGATTCCAGTACTTAGTGGTTAGATACAGTATCCTTGGTACTTATTTCCAGTACTCAATGGTTAATTCCAGTATTTAATAAATGATTGTTTCCAATATCAAGAAGTTAGATATAATATCGTTAGTCATTGTTTCCAGTATTCAATGGTTGATTCCAGTATTCAGGAGAAACTTCCTTTTTTTATAAATGATTGCAGTATCCATCTGCTAAGTGCAATGTCCAAAGTGATTGGTTTTAATAGTAATTAATGGTTTTAGTTTCCAGTATTTAGTAAATGATTCCAGTGTACAGCTGTTAAGTGCAATGTTAATACAGGTTGTGCCATTTTTTCTGCTTTTGTCAGTCTTGGCTCTGTTTTTACTAGGATTTCTATTGCAATCTTTCAAGGTTGCTCAGACTTTCAAGGTTCTTCAGCTTGCAGGTAAAAGTCGAAATTGAGTAAGAGAGGCTCGGATATGTTGTCAGCATACATTATATCGCGTTTTGAACCCCACATCTTTAGATTGGGGTTGAGTTATATTTTGAATTTTTTGATAAGTGTTGTGGTTAAGTTGGTATTATGTTTGCTTGCTTTGTTAGGTTACTTTGTAGTTGACTTTGGCATTAAGCTAATCTTAGCGTTTATGTCGTGCGTCTCTAGACGGTTAAACAACCTACATCAACCTAGTTTTTAGTTCTGTCTTCCTAGCGAACAAAATATCCGGAAAAGATATCTGTTTAGCAGCATCCGTTTGCATGGTAGGTTTGATCATGGGGTGTTGCGAGTTCAGGTGGTCTAGGAAGACGCTCTTTCATGCTGCCACACATCACAAAGGTGTCATCAACTAACTGAAGCCATAGCTTTGGTTTCCACAGAGTCTTCCTGTAAACCACCTTCTGTCACTTTTGATGCATTTGAACTATTTTTTGACACGTTTAATTCGTTTGACTATCTGACTAATGAATGCGATGTTCTTCTTGCTGATTTTAATGTCCCTTCCTATACTTCCATTGGTACCAATGATAGATTTAAAACGACCTTAACAAATTTCCGACATTTCCATCATTTTCGTCAGTACAATTCAATTGTGAACACCAACGATCGTTTACTTGATCTGATCTTTGCCAATATGAGCTGCGCAGTTACTCGCGATCATCCCGCTTTAGCGGTTGTTCTGGATTATGCTCCCCAGGTTTCTATGTTTAAGCATCATGGCCTACCCACCTATAACTTTAAGCGTGCAGACTATCTTTTGTTGTATCGGATGTTGGGTGAGGTGAATTGGTCGGACCTGGATGGTATTGGAGTGGTAGATCATCGATTCATGCATGCCGGCTTCTTTATAACAAGCTACACGATGTTTTTGATTTAGCAGTGCCTAAAACTGTGAGAGATTCTACGAATCGTCGTTGGCCTGCTTGGTTCACGAAGGAGGTAAAGGATTGTATACCCATGAAGGAGAATATGCGCGCAGGGCATAAGCGTATTGGTTCATTGTATTGCCTGAATGAATTTGCATATAATGCATATAATGCGTACATGAACGATGTTGAGCTATCTTTGATTTCTGATCCCAGTACCTTCTGGGCTTATGTTCGGTCACGGAAGGGCGGTACTCGCATTCCAGGTCTTATGACGAATGGAAACCTGAAGTTCAGTTCGGATCGAAGTACTGTGGATGCTTTTGCTGATTATTTTGAGTCCGTGTATATTCAATCTGATCCTGTTTTTGTTTCCCCCGATCATAGTCTTTGTTTGTCAGTGGAGAGCTTCAGCTTGGAGGAGGTTGAGGATGCGTTGAAGCGTACAAAGAATACTCTTACTTCTGGAGTTGATGGGATACCGAGCTTTTTACTGAAGGACTGTGCTTCGATTCTTGCCGCCCCATTACTTTCGATTTTCAATCTGGTCCTCTCTACTTCTACTTTTCCGTCGTTATGGAAAGAGTCATACGTCTGTCCAATTTTGAAGAAGGGCAACCCTGCTGAGATTGTGAATTACAGACCTATATCGCTGCTGTGTGGTTTCTTGAAGACTTGAAAGCGTTCTTTTGAAGCACATCTCATATCATTTAAACAAGTTCATTAGCCCAGTCCAACACGGACTTGTTTGTGGTCGATCTACTGTGTCACCAATCTAACATGCTTCGCCTAATTTCATTTAATATGGGCCACTTTATTATTTCTTGTGAATGATGCAAATTATTATAAAATTAATTTATTTCTATTAATATATTTTTTTTATCTTTTTAGCATTAGTTGGGTCATTAGCAATGGGTTCAACATTCCTCCTCTCAGCAGTTTCGGGCATTTTAACCGATTTGATCGGCGTTCGACCAACTTGTTTCATCGGCGGAGCTGTAGCAACATCCGGATTACTCATCTCATCGTTTTACACGCACAACATCAACGCTTTATACTTCACTTATGGAATAATGTACGGAATTGGATGCGCTTTGGCCTACACCCCATCGTTGGCGATTTTGGGGCACTATTTTAAGCGTTATATGGGGATTGTGAATGGTGTCGTTACAACGGGAAGTTCGATTTTTACGATGGCGATGCCGCACATAATCGGGTACTTTTTAGATGTTAGTTTGTTATCGGGAACGTTACAAATTTTGGCTGTGATATGTTCGTTGGTGATGATTTGTTCGTTAAGTTTTAAGCCTTTAATTAAATCGAAGAAAAGGGTTGAGCTGATGAGCAATGGTTCTGTTTTTAAGAATAAAAAGTATTTATCTTGGGCGATTATAATCGCGATTAGTTTATGTGGATATTTTGTGCCTTACGTTCATATGTCGACGTTTGTTAAAGAAAATTTCGACGAAAACGCCGATGGGAAGTTGCCAATTATTTTTATTGGGATGTCATCGGGGTTGGGGAGATTAATTTTTGGTTATATCGCTGATAGGAAAGGCGTAAGCAGGATATTTTTGCAACAAATTTCTTTTATAATCATCGGAACATCATCAATTCTCCTCCCGTTTACAAAAAATCATTTCAATTTACTCTTAACGTTAACATTTATCATGGGAATTTTCGACGGTTGCTTCGTGGCTTTATTAGGACCAATCGCTTTTGATATTTGCGGACACAATGGGGCAACGCAAGCAATCGGATTTTTATTGGCTTTATCATCGATTCCTTTAACAATAGGACCTTACGTCGCCGGAATTCTATACGATCATTTAGGAAATTATGAGCTCGCGTTGAGATTAGCGGGAATTCCCCCGATTATCGGCGGAATTGTTATGTTTATCGTTGGAAAATTTCAATCGAGGGAAGAAAATTTAGACGAAGAAATAAGCGGGAAGGATTATTTGGATGTTAACTCGAAGAATGCACGACTTAACGGTAAGATTAACAGTAAATCTTACCTTTTGGGAAATAAAGGAAACAAAAAAAATTGTTATTCTTAAATTTTTATTTCAATTTAGACGATTTCAATTTCATAATCTCAAAACAATTATAATAAAATAATCTGTGATATCTCTTTTATATAAATGGTGTAATTTTAACTACTTAGATATTAGTTAAAAAGTAAAAAGACAATTTTTTTTAAAGTATATTTTATAAAAGTAGAAGTAGCAATACATTTTAATATTAAAAAAAAAACTGATGTTTATTAATTAAGTTTTTTGTTCTTTCTTTTTATTTCTTACAGAATCGATTGGTGAAGATGAGAAGATCTGCTAACAATCTCTTCAAAGTATTTAAAATTAAGAATAAAAAATGTTTAGAGGTAACCTTTTCTGTATTAAAATGTATTGCTTCATTTATTCATTAAAAAATGTATTTATTTCCCCCCTTTTTAGTTTAAATACTCATTTTAATCATTAGAATTTAGTTAATTTAATCGAATTTTTTGTAAACTTTTAGTTCCTATTTAGATAGTTATTTTTTTAAAATTCCTATCTAGATTTAAGCGTTTTTGTTTTTCATTTTCTACTTTAACTAACAATTTGAATTGTTGTTTATTCCCTTTCTTTTTTGATAATTTTATTTTTTTTTTATAATGCGGGTTTTTCAATGATGTTATATCTATTATATTGTTGACCTGTTGAAAATATATTTTTAGAAACGATAAAAGAATTATTATTTAAAAAATTAAATCATTTTCTTTAAAAAATAACTATCAATTTACGCTTTTCTTGGCTAATTGTGTAAAATGACATAAAAAACGTTATAAAGGTATGATTAAATAACGGATTAAATATATTTCAACAAAAAGGAAAAGAAAACGATTTTAAATAAAAAAAAGAAGACACTTAGTTACGAGGAAACTTCAAAAATTGAGAAGCTAGTTGATTCGGACTCATTCCAACTGTGGTCCTTTTAAATAAGAATTCTATTTAAGGCTCACGAATTGAAACAACCGATTGGTGACGAAATGTTGATGTCCTTTTTATTGTGGATTCTAGAGCGTCAGCCACGTGGTGAATAATGGCATTTTGTTGCAAAACTTGGAAAAGAACACAACAAAGGTTGGGTTGGGTTGGTATCACATAGAGAGGTCAGGTGATCAAATCAGAGGGTTTGGGGTCAATAGAAGAAGAAACTTGTATTTTGGAAAGAACATTATTTGTACCAGAGCTGTTATTGGTAAGTGCCATAACAGAAAAGGGAGACTCGCACGGCTAAACTCGATACTTTCTAGTTTAAGGTCTAGTGTTAGTTCTACTTTTACACTTGCACTGTCACTAGAACTAACATTAGACCTAGAACTAGAAACATTTGGGTTTAGCCGCACGTCTCTAAAGACGGCTAAACCCGAATGATTCTAGTCCTAGGTCTAGTGTTAGTTCTAGTTTTACACTAGCACTGTTAATATGTGGAACTAACACTAGACCCTAATTTGTCTAGTCCTAGGTCTAGTGTTAGTTCTAGCTTTACACTAGCACTGTTACTATGTAGAACTAACTATACCTAGAACTGTTTCTAGAACTATTAGAATGTTTCTAGTTCTAGGTCTAATGTTAGTTCTAGTGACAGTGCAAGTGTAAAACTAGAGCTAAGACTAGACCTACAACCAGAATCATTCGGAGTTAACCGTCTTTAGAGACGTGCGGCTAAACCCAAATGATTCTAGTTCTAGGTATAGTGTTAGTTCTAGTTTTACACTAGCACTGTTACTTTGGGTTTAGCCGTCTTTAGAGACGTGCGGCTAAACCCAAATGATTCTAGTTCTAGGTATAGTGTTAGTTCTAGTGACAGTGCAGATGTAAAACTAGAACTAACACTATATTTAGAACAAGAATCATTTGGGTTTAGCCGTCTTTATAGACGTGCGGCTAAACCCACATGATTATAGTTCTACATATAGTGTTAGTTCGACATTGTAACAGTGCTAGTGTAAAACTAGAACTAACACTAGACCTAGAACTAGAATCATTCGGGTTTAGCCGTCTTTAAAGACGTGCAGCTAAACCCAAATGTTTCTAGTTCTAGGTATAGTGTTAGTTCTAGTAACAATGCAAATGTAAAACTAGAACAGTATACTTAGAACTAGTATCATTTAAGTTTAGCCGTCTTTATAGACGTGCGGCTAAACCCATATGATTATAGTTCTACGTCTAGTGTTAGTTCTAGTAGTAACAGTGCTATTGTAAAAATAGAACTAACACTATACCTAGAACTAGAATCATTCGGGTTTAGCCGTCTTAAGAGACGTGCGGCTAAACCCAAATGATTCTAGTTTTAGGTATAGTGTTAGTTCTAGTGACAATGCAGATGTAAAACTAGAACTAACACTATAATATAATTCTTAGAACTAGAAACATTTGGGTTGATCCGCACGTCTGTAAAAACGGCTAAACCCGAATGGATTTTAAAATTTAAAGAAAACGGATTGTAAAAAGCTAGATTAATGATTAGAGGATGCGAACAAAAGCTTGGAGAAGATTTTGAAGAGACATACAGTCCGGTAATTGGAAACAATGCTATAAGAATGGTTTTTGCAATAGCTGCACAAAGAAACAACCAAGTAATAAAGTTTGATATACAAACGGCATTTTTGTATGAAGAGTAAATTGAAGATTGTCAGAGTAAAAACGTTTTTTTAAAACCTAACCATTATTATTAATGTTATTAAATTATTTTCTAAACTACAACCAGTATTCATTAAAGTAAAACTAAAAGTAAAACCCAACTTTATTTTTCTTTAAATGTCATTAAATGACAGCTTTGTTGACGTTTACTTTACCTTTTATTTTGTTTTTAAGTAAATTTATTTATGATTCTTGTAAACAAATAATTCTACAGATAGTGCAGCTAACAACTGAAACTAAAATTAACACTAGCACTAGAACTAACAGTTTTAGTTCAACCTAGAACTGACTCCAGTATCCATCGGTGAAGCGCAATGTTCATAGTGATTCTCTATATCTCAGTGATTGAATGCAGTATCTAATACATGATTCCAATATGGAGTGGTGAAGTGCAATGTCACTTTATAGTGACTGATTCCAGTATGCAGTATCCTTTGTACTTATTTTCAGTACTCAATGGTTGATTCCAGTATTTAATGAATGATTACAGTATTTAATAAATGATTCCAATATCCAGCTGCTAAGTGCAATATTCATAGTGATTGTTTCCAGTATCTAGAAGTTAGATATAATATCATTAGTCATTGTTTCCAGTATTCACTGGTTGATTCGAGTGTCTAATAAATGATTAAAAATATTCAAGAGAAACTTCCTGTTTTTAATAAATGATTGCAGTATCCATATGCTAAGTACAATGTCCAAAATGATTGGTTTTAGTATCCAAAAGTCAGATATAGCATGCTTAGTAATTATTTCCAGTACCTAATGGTTAATTCCAGTATCTAGTGAATGAATCCAGTGTTTAGTAAATGATTCCAATAAACAGCTGCCAAGTGCAGTGTTAATAGAGGTTATGCCATTTCTTCTACTCTTGTCAGTCCTGACTCTGTCTCTCACTAGGAGTTCTATCGCAGTTTCTACCAATCTATCCAGGTTGTTCAGACTTCCAAGATTCCTCAGTTTACGAGTCCGAATTGAGTAAGAGGGGCTGTCAGTATACATTATATTGGCGTCACTACTTCATTTGAACCCCCATGGTATTACCTTAGGGTTGAGTAATCTTGGATTGAGTTTTGAAGGTAGGATAGCGTTGGATTTAGGTTGTTATGTTACATTAAAATAAAGTTACATTGTGGTTGAGTTGCTGTTACGTTTGCCGAGTAATCTTGGATTGAGTTGCTTTGAAGGTAAGATAGCGTTGGATTTAGGTTGTTATGTTACTTTGAAGTAAAGTTACATTGTGGTTGATGATTGCTGTTACATTTGCTTGCTTCCTATTTAGGTTACTTTGTGGTTGACTTAGGCATTAAGCTACTCTTAGCGGCCAAATTGTGCGTCTCTAGACGGCTAAACCTAAAATGAATGTTTCTAGTTTTCGGTCTAGTGTAAGTTCTAGCTTTAGTTCAACCTAAAACTGATTAAAGTATCCTTCTGCGAAGTGCAATGTCCATAGTGATTGGTTCCAGTATTCAAAAGTTAGATGCAATATACTTAATAACTATTTCCAATGCTCAGTGGTTAAATGCAGTATTAAATGCAATAATATATAATTCCAATGACGTCCAGTGACGAAACGCAATCCATAGTGGTGATTGGTACTTATTTCCAGTATTCAATGGTTGATTGCAGTGTCTAATAAATAATTACAGTATCCAGGAGAAACTTTCTGTTTTTAATAAATGATTGCAGTATCCATTTGCTAAGTACAATGTTAATTGAGGTTGTCCCATTTCTTCTGCTCTTGTAAGTCTTGACTCTGTCTTTCACTAAGATTTCTATCGCAGTCTTTCAAGGTTGCTCAAGCTTTTAAGGTTCGTCAGCTTGTGCAGGTAAGGGTTGGAATTGAGTAAGTGAGGCTAAAAGTGAGTCACAAAAGTCTACATACACCAAGTATATTCACTCCAGTTAAATAATACGTCATATACATACACAGGTATAAAACTTAAAATTATTAAATTAATCATAGTCAAATACAAATATTTTAATAATTTGTACGTCCACCTTGGAAATCCAGAACTGCCTGGACTTGACTTGGCATAGAATGAACAAGATTCTCTGTTACACTGACTGGTATTTCAGCCCAAGCTTTGTTTAGCGCATCTTTTAACGATTGCTTATTTTTGACATTGTATTTCCGTTCTACCTCATCCCAAATGCTTTGGTATGTTATAAAGAATCCATTCTCCAATTTCCAAGGTCTAAGCGCTTTGCTAATTTTTTCAAATTGCCGTGCAATATTTCCAAATATCGTCTATGGTCGCTAATACAATAAAAATCAAGTTTCCTAGGCCAGAAGCAGCCATTGAGTCCCAAATCTTCACTGATCCTCCACCATATATTATGGTTGGGAGTACATTTTTGCTTTCATTTCCGAAAATATACTTACTTTCGCCAGTAAACAGAACTTTTGTCCAAAATTCAAAATCACTTGCAAGATATCTTTTAGCAAATTCAATCCATTTCTGCTTGTTTTGTTGGGAAATTAAACGTTACATACAGTTTCTGGATGCACAACTTAATGGGTAGCTAGTTGAAATTCTTCTACCAATTGAGGAACACTTGTTCTGGGATTTTCTTTCAGCAGTTTTAAAATTGTCCGGATGTCACGTTGATTTAAAACTCTTGGGCGACCAATGCGTGGTTTATTTAATCCATTAAAATTTTATATAATTGTTTAGATTCTTGCTCGACTTTTGCCAACAGTTTTAGCAATTTCACCACATGATTTTTCCTCATTTCTTAACTTTACTTTTAAATGGCGAACTTCAACCGATATTTCTTTTCTTTCCGTAATATTTCAAATTTTAAATAATATTATATTCACTACTAAGGTAAATAGAAACTATAACATAAACATAATAACCTAAAATATTAACTAGAAATGTTTTGTAAGCTTTTTTGTATCAAATGCATAACTGTATGTTGACTTTTGTGAGGTTTATCTGTCAGTTTTCAATTTTTTGCTCTCTCCATGGAACACTTGGTTTAGTTTCATTTTTGTGGTATGCTCGTCAATAAACACAAGTAGTTTTAGATGTAATGCAAAGATGTATTTAATGGTGTTTATTGCGGTATCGCTATTTAAAGTGGTGTTTGTAGACTTTTGTCACTAACTGTACATTCTTATTCGCGTTTTGAACTCCACATTTTTACATTAGGGTTGAGTTATCTTTCATTGACTTGTTTTGAATTTGGGATAGCATTGGATTTAAGTTATCTTGCTTTGGAGTTAAGTTGTTATTACGTTTACTTTATTCTTAGCGTTTATCAAATTCAAATTGTTGTGAAGTTAGCAATATTAACTCTAAATGTGACGTTTACGTTAATTTGACGTTTAAGTGGTAATTTGACCTTGAAAAAGGGAAAAAAAAAGAGTTTAGGACAAAAAATGACCAAATAATTATTTAATTCAATTATTCTAATTATTATTAAAACCCAATTAATAATAAATTAATCATTATACCAATCTAAAAATAATAAAGAAAATGACATAACCAATAAAAAGAATAAAACCCAAACTCTCAACCCTGCATTTCTTTGAATCGCCTGCCTTATTTGGTCATTGGCCACTTTCATATCTTCTGTACTTCCAGCAGTTCTTGCAGAAATTAATTCAATCTCTTTATCTTGTTCCAAAACTTTTTCTGTAAAAAGTTCTTGTAATTCGGCGATACGAACTACTTTACTCTCCATGTTTTTAACCTCATCTGATAAGCTGTTTAATTCGTTGTATAAATGCTCATTTTCCGATTCAAACATTTGTAATTCTTCTGGAGATAATTCTTCTTCAACATTTTCCGTTTTTGTATTACTTTGAGGAATAATGATTGAAGAATTTGTTGAGGAGCTATTTAAAGAATTTTTTGTTTGATTTTCTTTTGAATTTTTATTAATCTCTTTAACTTCCATACTTTTATTTTTATTAACATTCTCTAATTTCGACAATTTATGAGTTTCAATAACTTTTTTAACTCTAATCGCTTTCGTTTCTGTGTACATTTTTGAAACAGTTTTTAAATAAACTTCAACAGACTCCAATACATTTCTATAATGTTCGTGTAATTGTTGCGTTTTAGCATCCCTTAACCAAGTCTTTTTACACTCAATAATTAAACCAGAACAATTATTAATAATCTCCTCAGCTTTCGAATCGATTTGTTCCCGGTCACTTTCTGTCATTGTTTTATTCGTGGATAAGTAATTAACTACATTTAAATAAGCAAATTTATGTTCTAATAGGAATTGTTGAAGATTACTGACTTCTTTTATGATTTCTTTAGCTTTAGTTAAATGTATATCTCTTCGGGTTGATTTTAAAACATTTGTTGGCTTCTCGTTATTAATTCCTAACGATTTATTTGTTGTTCTGACTGTTTTTACACACGCTCTAAATAATAATGTTATATCCATTCTTGTTTATTTATCCAAATATATTAAAAAAATTAATTTGTTAAGTGTTGACGGTTTTTGACGTGGAACCTAACCTCAAAATTGAAATTTGACATAAAAGTGTGAAATTTAGTGACATCTATGTTTAGAAACGAAAAGTTTCAAGTTTAAATAATTTAAATAAACAACATTGTTTGGAATATGATGTTTTTATTGAGTCTTTTACGTATAAATCTACATTTAATTACATTAAATTACACATAAATTAACAAAAAATATCCTTAAATAATAAAATGAATTTTATTCGTCGATAAGTAATTAATTACGTTTAAATAAGCAAATTTATTTTCTAATAGGAATTGTTGAAGATTACTGACTTCTTCTACGATTTCTTCAGCGTTAATTAAATGTATATCTCTTCGTGTTGATTTTAAAACATTTGTTGGTTTCTCGTTATTAATTCCTAATGATTTATTTGTTGTTCTGACTGTTTTTACACACGCTTTAAATAATAATGTTATATCTGTTAATAATTATAGCAATTGCCGGGTATAAGAAAATTTCTGTATTATAACGAAAATAATGTTTTGAAAAAAAAGTACTTACACGCACACAAGTAAGATTTCAAAAGAAAAACACCCCGTGTATCACTTAAATCACTTAAATTAGTTTATTTATCTGTTTAATACAGAACGTGACTTTTAAACCAGTTTCTTTTTTACAATGAAAAATAAAATAGCATTTAAATTTAAATATGAAAATTGAATTAAAAACATTATATTCTATATATATAAAACAATGAGATAAACAAATTAATATTTCTATTTAATTAAACAATATCCATTCTTGTTTTTTTTCCAGATATATTAATAAAATTAATTTATTAAATGTTGACGGTTTTTGACGTGGAACCTAACCTTAAAATTGAAATTTGACATAAAAGCAGCGTTGCCAACCTATGCCGACCAAATGTTGGTAGAATCAATGGTATAAAATCGGTAGGTTTAAATACAAAGTCAGAAAATGTTGTTTATTAAAAGTTTATAAATGAATTTATATGTATACATATACAGAATGTCCCATATCTTCCGCATCAGAACATTATACGGTTCCCGTGAAAAATCGCTTCTAAAAAATATATCCTGTATATAAGTTATGAGTTAAACACAGGAGGTTGTATTTTAAAAAAATCGCGTACACCTGAAGACCCTTATAAAGTTACCTTGTTGAATGTTTGATTAAGATTATTTTTTTCGGGATCGAACCTACTGGCAAGTTGTTAATGGTAGCACTTTAGAATCGGAATTGTAGCAAATTTTATTCTTAACAATATTGCTCTCTTACACTTTTGCCCTTAGATTTAGATGGATCAATATCAAGCAAAATACAAAAATATGAAAATTTGTTCCTTTTTCAAGTTATTAAAGTTAACGCTTAGGAATCGGAGCATGTTACAAAAAACTCTTGCACTTTTGCTCTTAGATGCGTCAATATTGAGATAGATACGAAAATATGAAAATTTTATGAATTTGTTGCTCTTTCAACTTATTAAAGGTAACACTTGGGAATCGGAGCATGCTATAAGAAAACTTTTATAACAAAATTGGTTGCAAATTTTATTGTTAACAATATTGCTCCCTTGCATTTTTACTCTTAGATACGTCAATATCGAGATAGATACGAAAATATGAAAATTTGTTGCTCTTTCAAGTTATTAAAGGTAACACTTGGGATTCGGAGCATGCTATAAGAAATCTTTTATAACAGAAATTGTTGCAAATTTTATTGTTAACAATATAGCTTTCTTGCATTTTTGTTCTTAGATACATCAATATCGAAATAGATACGAAAATATGAAAATATTATGAATTTGTTGCTCTTTCAAGTTATTAAAGGTAACATTTAGGAATCTGAGCATGCTATAAGAAAACTTTCATAATAAAAATTGTTGTCAATTTTATTATTAACAATATTGCTCTCTTGCACTTTTGCTCTTAGATACGCCAATATCGAGATAGATATGAAAATATGAAAATTTAATCGATTTGTTGATCTTTCAAGTTATTAAAGGTAACACTTAGGAATCGGAGCATGCTATAAGAAATCTGTTATAACAAAAACTGTTGCAAATTTTGTTGTTAACAATACTGCTTTCTTGTACTTTTGCTCTGAGATACGTCAATATTGAGATAGATACGAAAATATGAAAATTTGATCAATTTGTTGATCTTTCAAGTTATTGAAGGTAACACTTGGGAATCAGAGCATGCTATAGGAAATCTTTTATAACAAAAATTGTTGCAAATTTTATTGTTATCAATATTGCTCTCTTGCACTTTTGCTCTTAGATGCGTCAATATCTATTTTGACAATATTATATTTTGAACCGTTTTCAAATTAGGAAGGGGGTTTACTTATGACGCGTGCTGTATATACCAACGATCTGGCAACGTTGCTCGAGCGACATTGCCATATCGTTGGTATATACTTTTATGTAATATAAGTAGGGTATTCTCATAAGGTACAATTTTTGTCGCAATTGTATTGATTTTAAGTACGATGTGTTTCATATTTTGTTCAAATTTTGAAAAGTATTACATTAAGTGGTATATCGGTAGATCTATCTATAAATTGGTAGGGTTGGCAACGTTGCATAAAAGTGTCAAATTTAGTGACATCTATGTATAGAAAATTTAAGTTTAAATAATTTAAATAAATAAAATTGTTTGGAATAAGATGTTTTTATTGAGTCTTTTACGTATAAATCTACATTTAATTACATTAAATTACACATAAATCAACAAAGAACATTCATAAATAATAAAATGAGTTGATAAAATTCAATTAGTGCTTATATAAAATAAAATAAATAATAATATTATAAATATACAATAAATATTGCATTGTGGGGTACATATAGCATTTTTAAGTACCTTATAGCTTATAGTATAAGTTATTATAAATACATCATCACATCAAAGTACATTACAAACTATTTTTGATTTTCTTAAAACCAAAAACAATCTTACAATAAAAAATCATTATGAAAAGTCTTTTAAAATCAAATATCACACTCATTATTAAAATTAACACATTTTATAGAAATGATTAAAAAAAATCACTTTTCCTATTATTAAAGAAACCTTTTTTACCCACTCCATTAACATCCATATTTATGAGTAAAAGCGACATCTTGTGGTCGATAGGTAGTCATCGTGGTGTTCCTTCTAAAAGTATTCGAATTACTCTTATTGTGCGGATATAAATTCAGTGGTGGTAAATTTGGATTTTCAATCCTCGTGGGTGATGATACTTCCGGTCTCAAACTGAATCCCCTCCTTAAACTATTCCCGCCACTTAATCCTCCTAATCCTAGCCCCAAACTCGAACATCTCATATCGGTGTTTCCCCCCAAAACGGCATATTGATGCTCCATATCGTCTAATTGATAACTTTCAATCAACGGAGTTGGATCTTCATAATCGTAATCAACAAAACCGTTATTTTCAAAAGTCCCTCCTTTATTTGCTTTTAAGGTCATTGTATAAGTTTGATAATCGTCAGGTATTTCAGTTTGAATAATTTGGTGATGATTAAGTTGATTGACCGTTGATGTTGGTTTGATGTTAACATTTTCAATCGTCTCGTAATGATCATCGGCTTCAACGTAATCGACAAGATCCCTGGGGAACGTTTCCGAGATGAAATGTTGCGTTCCTCGAGGTGTTAAAGCAGCCCAAACCATGCGATTATCGGTTGGGTTTAAATTATGGGCGGTCGGATGATATAAAACGGTTTCAGATGGATGGAGAAGTTTATTAGTTGCGACCATGGTGTTCATTGAGCTGCAATCGCGCGGTTCATGAGGTTTTATTGGACGATGAACATCCCGAACGTGAACTGAACATTCGTTATGCCCAAACATGTTCATTCTAAAAGAACAAAAAAGATGTAAGATAAATGTAAGTTATTAAGAGAATTAACTTACTCTCTGCATTTTAATAAAAACATTGCCAACAAAGCTCCAAGTAATAAAACACCAATTGAAGAAGCAACAAGAACTAAAAGCCATGTGTCGTCGATTCCAGAAACGGACCAACTTTCTATTTCTAAAAAACAAAATAGAATCAAATAATTGTTTATTAAGTAACATTTTTGATTGGGAAGTTATTTCAGTTTGGAGATATAGATTTATTTGCACCTTTGCGATGAAGTTCGATGTAGTCGCTTTCCGATTGAACTTTGTTGGGCGGAAGCCAATTCTCGCAAAGTTGCGGTGACGAGCACGGAGTTCCATTCGTTATCAAATCCGGTATGTTCGGTTGAAGAAATGATGGAATCGGCGGTGGTGGTAAAAATAGAATTGTGTCTGGGGGTGGACCCAAGTCCAAACAATCTCCCAAACAACTCATTTACTGAAAAATTAAAAACGAGCTTTATCAATTAAATAAAACTATAATTCATGTCATGATGCTTTAATACTTTTAAGTGGCTTTAAGGAGCTTTAACTTCAAGTTTAGTCAAAGGAGATTCAAGGCCAAAGCCATACAATATCAATCAGCAAACAAAACTGAATGTCGACTTGCATACTTTGAACCTGATATGACCTTAACCTTAAGATCTCTCCGAGGATGGAGAGATCGCTAGATATCCATTAAAATACTCTGTACATTTTGTAGACATTTCAGACATAGCTAAAAATATTTTGATACCTTGGCATTGATCTATGGAGAGTTTTTGAAAACAATAATAATTGGAATTGTCATAGAGCCTCTGTAAATCTTGTAAAAATCTTTAAAATGCTTAGAAATACCAGGTTATTTTTTTTCTTCTACTGTAAGTAGTAATAGTAATAGTATGTAAGTAGTAATAGTAATAATGAGTACTTTAATGTATTGTAGTAAAGTTGTGCTATGTGGATATGATCTTACAATACTAAAAAAGCCATATCATACTGACTTTGGAAGGAAGATATTATAAGAGTTCCTGTTTGGAGATGTTTTCCATCAATCCTTTGGGGCTAAGTGGTATACTGTATATACCACATATTTAAATTTTGTTTCTCAACTTGCTTCGTAGTATATCCTACGTAAGTACCACCGGCTTAAAACCCTCTTAAAACTGTGCCCTCTATCATCTACTAGAAGAAATTCAGTCAACCTATTCTTCGTGCAATAACGTAGGATACATAATTTTGAATGTCCGATTTGATTCAAAAAAAATCAAAAATAATGGAAAGTAAGTACATACCTACATACATAAAATGGTTTGGAATGCGAATATACATATATTATAAACAATAAATTAAAAATATAATTACTCTTGATCGTTATTTATCTGTGGTATTTGAAATATAACGCAGAAACCGGAGAAAAACAATTATTACATCGGGTTATTACTGATTTGACCAGGTCTCTGGTTGGAAAGCAGCATTTTGTCTATTTTGACAATTTCTTTACATCCAGTTGCAGGCAGACAGGATTTACGCCACAGGACCTAACAGGAAAGGAAGAAAAAGAATACTGAGGAACTTCAAAGCTGATGAAAATTTGAAGCCGCATCTCCTATGTCAAATGGATGGAAGAGAATAGTTTTGTTGCGAAAATCCGTCCGAAACAAATTATGTTAGTAATTACTATAGTAATAAAGTCTACTTTTTTGGAGTTCGAACTTCCGTTCATATCATTCTCCAGTTACAAGGTCTCCATTAGTTCCACTTCCCATTACACGACATCTTCCTTCTTCAGCTCCATCGAACTGTCTCGTGGTTTGACAATTTATGAATGTATGAAACCCACACAATAACAAATGCTTACATATACAGGACAACACTTTAAAATAGGTTAATGAGAGGTTGATTCTTCTGCGAGCCAGGGGTTCGGTGACCCGACTTTTCCAGGACCCTTGGACCAGATCTGGAAAGGGATTATAAGTATAAGAGTTGCTTAAGGTCTAGGTTCTTAGTATCACAGTCTGTTTTATATTTCTAAGTAGCTAATTATCCTATTTATTTCTTTCTTGCACCTGTTCAGTCTTTCTCAATATTGCATTTTTCTAGCTTTGGGTATTATTATCACAGTCTTATTCTATTATTATTAATAAACCAGTTGCCAATAGGGAGACTAGGTTAACTGGTAGGCTGATTCGTTTTTCAACTAGTCCTATCAATTTTAGTCGATGTGCATCTAATCTATGGCATGTAAAAAATATGTGATTTAAGTCGCCTTCTTCTCGGCATTCACAATTTGGATTGTCTTTTACTTTAATTTTGTGTAGATAAGAGGAGGTAAGTGCGTGACCCAGTCTTAACCTGACAATAAGCGTCGAGAAATATTGTGACACAAACGGCATCGTTCTGTACCAAGGAACCCTCTGTACAGTCGGTTGACATCTAGCGTATATACTACCTTTGGTTCTAGTTGATCTGCTCCATTTCTGGTCCCACTCGAGATTCAGCCTTGTTTTGATCTGATGGTATAACTCTTCTCCGTGGATCTTTATTTTAAAGGTTTCTTTGTGGTTCCCCTGCCAATTCATCCGCTTTCTCGTTTCCTTTGATACCGGTATATCCCGGAACCCAGACCAGGATTATCTCCATACCCAACTGGTGTATTTCGTACATTAGTTTGATAGTCTCGGTTATGTATGGATGTAATTTGAAGTAATCTGAAGTTACAATTTTTTATTTGTTTTAATGTGCTACGAGAATCGGTGATAATGAGAGCCTTGGTGATAGATTTCTCATTTACAATCGTTAGTGCTGTAAGCATTGCGTATACCTCAGCAGATAATATTGTTAGTTCATCAGGTAGATGATAGTACTCCTCTATCTCCAGGATAGGGGCATATATTCCACATGATATACTTTTGTTAGGTGTATGCATTCTTCTGCGATGTGTGATTCTATTTCTCTTTATGTGAACCCGGTGTAAAAACTTTTGACGGTGTGAATTTCCTAATATTTCCATGTCATGGATGTTGTTAGTCTTCTTTCTATATATGTATGGGATAGCAGGTTTCAGTTTATTGTACATTTCTGAGATTAGAGGACGACATGTTAGTAACGGACGTGAGATAAAGATTTCTGTTATCTTATCCACTCTGTTTATGACGGGACAATTGAGGATGCATAGGCTTTTAGTTAGAATCCTGGCACACAAGTGTTTTACTCTAATTTCAATGGATGTTTCTCCCGCTTCGTTTGCGAGGCCATTCCAAGCACGGATCTATACGCCTCGTTGCACATCACGTTTAATTTATTCATTAATATTTTAGGTATGGGCAATAATATCCATAGACCGTACCCGAGTTTAGATCTGATGATCGCCTTATACAATGTGGACAATATTACAGAATCACCTGGTATGCGATAAAGATTTTATTAGATTAATGCTTGCCATGCATGTCTTGGCGGTCGTTTAAAAATTTTTTCAGGGACTCCAATGCCCTGTTTATCTGGTCTGCTGCTGTTTCTGCGCTCTGAACTATATATACCAGATTATGTTTACAAATCTATACATCATCCATGGAAAGTCACTCCACCTTTATTTCTGGCGATTAAGTTGTTACTTATACACCAAATTAAAGCTAAAAACGTTCTCTTTCGAATGATATATCACAATCAATGAGTTTATCAAGGAAGGAATTCAGATTTCTTTAATTTAAGATAACCTCAAAATATCAAAAATAAATTAGTGGCTTTAATATTTTTTTTTATATGAAAGTTGATTATCAACTGTAATATTTTTATCCATTACCGTAAAATGACATTTATAGCTTTAATTTGAGGTATAGATCATCAATTAAGTCCGAATTAAATACGATTTATTAAACATTTCATTAACCTCAAAATGACAGAAAAATTTCTAAAAATCATTTCAACTTTATTTTTAGAGATTAAGGTGTTATTTTTATATCAAATTAAAGTTAAAAACGTCTTCTTTCGTACTATATATAATAATCGACTATTTTATTAAGGAAAAAATTGAAATTTTTTTATTTAAGCTAACCTCATAGTGTCAAAAATGAACAAATAACTTAAAACTTTTTTTTGAAGAAAATATCATTATCAACTATAATATTTTTATGGAATTCCTTAAAGTTGACGGTTTTAGCTTTGATTTGAGATATAAATCATCAATTAATTCCAACAAATGCAGATTGTACGATTTATTAAACATTTCATTAACCTCAAAATGACAGAAAAATTTCTAAAAATTGTTTCAACTTTATTTTTAGAGATTAAGTTGTTATTTTTACATCAAATTCAAGCTAAAAACGTCCTCCTTTCTACAATATATAATAATCGACGAGTTTATTAAGCAAAAAATTGAGATTTTTGTATTTAAAGTAACCTCAAAGTGTCATAAATGAACAAATTATTTAAAACCTTTTTTTTTTAGGTAAATATCATTATTAACTATAATATTTTTATGGAATTCATTAAAGTTAACGATTTTAGCTTTGATTTGAAATATAAATCATCAATTAATTCCAACAAATATAGATTGTACGATTTATTAAACATTTCATTAACCTCAAAATGACAGAAAAAACTCTAAAAATCATTTCAACTTTATTTTTAGAGATTAAGCTGTGATTTTTACATCAAATTCAAGCTAAAAACGTCCTCTTTCCTATAATATATAATAATCGACAAGTTTATTATCGAAAAAGTTGAAATTTTTTTATTTAAACTAACCTCAAAGTGTCAAAAATTAACAAATAATTTAAAACTTTTTTATGAAGAAAATATCATTATTAACTATAATATTTTTATGGAATTCATTAAAATAGACGATTTTAGCTTTGATTTGAAATATAAATCATCAATTAATTCCAGCAAATACAAATTGTGCGATTTATTAAACATTTCATTAACCTCAAAATGACAGAAAATTCTCTAAAAAACATTTCAACTTTATTTTTAGAGATTCAGCTATTATTTTTACATCAAATTAAAGCTAAAAACCTCCTCTTTCGTACAATATATAATAATCGACGAGTTTATTAAGGAAAAAGTTGAAATTTTTTTATTTAAACTAACCTCAAAGTGTCAAAAATGAACAAATATCTTAAACATTTCAAATTTGCAATGCAGTTCAAATTAATAATGTCAGATGCAGATGCTCAAATCGAATTTTGCAAGAATTTCAGAAAAACGTGGTTTCTAGAAAAGTTGAAGATGACCAAAATAAATTTTTGAAAAAATGCAGAAAATAGATTGAAATTAAAGTAATTAATTCTCGTAAATTATTCATTATTCTCAGAAAATCTTTGTTAATGGCAATTATACAGACAAATACCTGGGTATTATAACACCTAGGTGTTTCGTTGAAAAAGTTAACAACTTAACTTAGCTTGGTTGAAAATAATTAAGCAAATAATAAAGATACAATAAAGATAATAATAAATGAACTTACTCTATCTGATTTTGATTTATCTCTTGTCTCTCTATCAATATTAATTAACATCCAAAGTAAATAAGATAAGGAGAATACCAATAAACGAGTCGAGCACCACTTTTTCCCTAAAAAACCCAAACCAATTCACCAAAACGGGCAAACGACGATTTCGTTTCTATTTATCGATCCGATTTCACCCTACCATAAACCTTTGATACAGAGCTTTCGAGGCGCAAGCGCCTCTTTAGCTACACATATTGATCATTTTCAATGAAACTTAATGCCAAACCTTAATCCTATTAGACATTTTCCCAATAAACAACAATTTTTACATTGCAATTACATTGTGTTCAATTTTTACGTTCTAACAACATCAAAAATTTTATTTTTTTTTAACAAATTGAATTAACTCAAAGAAAAAAATATTTTTTTAATCGATTTTTTCTTATTTTAAATAAGATAACATCTTTTGGTGTTTGTTGTGCGTTTGTATAATTGGAGGTATTTTTAAATAGTCTAGGAGGGGGGTTAACTTAAATGAGTGGGTAGTTTTAACGATATGTTTCAAAAATGGTAAAGCGCATGCGAGTTGTGGGCTTTGAATTGAGTATTAAATTATGGAATGAAGGTGTTTTGTTGTCAGATTGTGTTGGGCTTTTGGGGTGGAAAGGGAGCTCCGAAGGTTTTAGGTGAAGATAACTTTAAAGTTATCTGATTAAAAATTAAATCGAATTTATATTTAATTTTTTTCTTGAAATTAACAGCAATGATTTGAAAAAAAAATATATTAAGGGGTAAGTTATAAATATTTTTTAAGTTAATTTTGACGTAACGATTTTGGCATTGTAAAAAAAGGTTAAAAATTTTTATTAATTTTTTGTTGTCAAAATAATAAACCCCACGAAGATTTAGCAAAGAAAAAAAAGGAAATGTGAAGGAATTTTATTCCCTTTTCTTTCTTGGGTTTGTTATGGTTCTTTTCTTGGTTAATTTTTATTCTTTGTATCTCGCCAAAGAAAATACGCTAAGAAGTTGAGGAAATAAACAAAAAAATGGGTTTGGCAAGCGCGAAAAGTGTGGTTTATTTACAGAAACAGGTAGGAAAATTATGGTAAAGGTTCGTAACTTTTTTCAAAATTTGTTTACTTACTTTAAAAAGAATCATTAAGATATTAATTGGCCTAGAAGACCGAACAAAAACAATCCTAAGAAATTAGAGCACAAATTTCTTGTTAATCATTATCGTTAATTCTCGAAATAATATTTCTTTAGACAGAAAAAAACAACTCTAGTCATTATTACATAATAAATACAATGAAATAAATAATAAAATTATCAATTTCACCAAGTTAGAAAAACAAGAAAAAAATTGGAGTACTTTTCACCTTGAACAAATGTCCGTTTGTAAAGTTTTTGTCGATATCAGGATGATGTTTACACAGACGATGCTCAAAGAATGTTTATAAAAAAATACGTTAGATAGTAATGCCTATAATTAGTAGTACATCTTATTTTTCATGAAGGGAACATAATATTTTTTTAAATAATTATAAAATAAAGATAATCTATTTATATAAAGATCAAATTAACTGGGAAATTATATAAAATCGTCTACGATAAGTTAATCGAGGAAAAATTGAGAAAATTTTTCAATTCGAATTATCTTGGTTGGTTAAAAATGTTTTATTAACAAATTTGATCATTAACTGTCATGTTTTTATGTTTTATCTTAAATTAGATGATTCTTGCTTCAATTTGGGATATAAATAATTAGTTAATTCCAACAAATATAGATCGTACGATTTTTGAAATATTTCATTAACCTGAAAAATGACCGAAAATATTTTTAAGAATCACTTTATTTTTAGAGATTAAGGTGTTATTTTTATACCAAATTAAAGCTAAAAACGTTCTTTTTCGAATGATATATCACAATTAATGAGTTTATCAACAAAAAAAATCTGATTTCTTTTATTTAAGCTAATCTCAAAATGTCAAAAATAATATATATAGCTTTATTATTTTTTTTCTATGAAACTTGGTTATTAACTATAATATTATATAATATATTGTTTTGAGGTATAGATCATCAATTAAGTATATTTTATTAATCATTTCATTAAGCTCAAAATGACAAAAAGATCTCTAAAAATCATTTCAACTTTATTTTTATAGATTAAGGTATTATTTTTACATCAAATTAAAGCTAAAATCGTTCTCTTACATACTATATATAATAATCCACGAGTTTATTAAGGAAAAAGTTGAGATTTTTGTATTTGAAGTAACCTGAAGGTGTTAAAAATGATCAAATAACTTAAAACTTTTTGTTGAAGAAAATATCATTATTAACCATAATATTTTTATGGAATTCATTAAAATAGAGGATTTCAGCTTTGATTTGAGATATAAATCATCAATTAATTCCACCAAATACAGATTGTGCGATTTATTAAACATTTAATTAACCTCAAATTGACAGACACATTTCGAAAAATCATTTCATCTTTATTTTTAGAGTTTAAGGTGGCATTTTTACATCAAATTAAAGCTAAAAACGTCCTCTTAGATACTATATGTAATAATCGACGAGTTTAATAAGGAAAAAGTTGAGATTTCTGTAGTTGAAGTAACCTCAAAGTGTCAAAAATGATCAAATAATTTAAAACTCTTTTTTGAGGAAAATATCTTTATTAACTATAATATTTTTATAGAAATCATTAAAATAGACAATTTTAGCTTTGATTTGAGATATAAATCATCAATTAATTCCAACAAATACAGATTGTACGATTTATTAAACATTTCATTAACCTTAAAATGACAGAAAATACCTCTAAAAATCATTTCAACTTTATTTTTAGAGATTAAGGTATTATTTTTACATCAAATTAAAGCTAAGAACGTCCTCTTTCGTACTATATATAAAAATCGACGAGATTATTAAGGAAAAAGTTGAGATTTTTTTTATTTAAAGTAATAACCTCAAAGTGTCAAAAATGATCAGATAACTTAAAACTTATTATTGAAGAAAATATCAGTATTAACTATAATATTTTTTTGGAATTCATTAAAATAGACGATTTTTGCTTTGATTTGAGATATAAATCATTAATTAATTCCAAGAAATACGGATTGTACGATTTATTAAACATTTCATTAATCTCAAAATGACAGGAAAATGTCTAAAAATCATTTCAACTTTATTTTTAGAGATTAAGGTGTTATTTTTACATCAAATTAAGGCTAAAAACGCCCTCTTTCGTGCTATATATAATAATCGACGAGTTTATTAAGGAAAAAGTTGAGATTTTTTTATTTAAACTAATCTCAAAATGTCAAAAATTGACAAATAATTTAAAACTCTTTCTTGAGGAAAATATCTTTATTAACTATAATATTTTTATGGAATCTATTAAATTAGATGATTTTAGCTTTGATTTGAGATGTAAGTCATCAATTAATTCCAACAAATACAAACTGTATGATTTATTAAATATTTCCTTAGCCTCAAAATGACAAAAAGATCTTTAAAAATCATTTCAACTTTATTTTTAGAGATTAAGTTGTTATTTTTACATCAAATTTAAGCTAAAAGCCTCCTCTTACGTACTGTATATAATAATCCACGAGTTTATTAAGGAAAAAGTTGAGATTTTTGTATTTGAAGTAACCTCAAAGTGTCAAAAATGATCAAATAACTTAAAACTTGTTTTTGAAGAAAATATCATTATTAACCATAATATTTTTCTGGAATTCATTAAAATAGACGAATTTAGCTTTGATTTGAGATATAAATCATCAATTAATTCCAACAAATACAGATTGTGCGATTTATTAAACATTTCTTTAACCTCAAAATGGCAGAAAAATCTCTAAAAATCATTTCAACTTTATTTTTAGAGATTATTGTATTATTTTTACATTAAATTAAAGCTAAAAACGTCCTCTTTCGTACTATGTATAATAATCGAGGAGTTTATTAAGAAAAAAGTTGAGATTTTTGTATTTAAAGTAACCTCAAAGTGTCAAAAATGATCAAATAACTTAAAACTTCTTTTTTAAGAAAATATCGTTATTATCTATAAAATTTTTATGGAATTCATTAAAATAGACGATTTTAACTTTGATTTGAGATATAAATCATCAATTAATTCCAACAAATACAGATTGTGCGATTTATTAAACATTTCATTAACCTCAAAATGACAGAAAAATCTCTAAAAATCATTTCAACTTTATTTTTAGAGATTAATATATTATTTTTACATCAAATTAAAGCTAAAAACGTCCTCTTTCGTACTATATATAATAATCCACGAGTTCATTAAGAAAAAAGTTGAGATTTTTTTTATTTAAAGTAACCTCAAAGTGTAAAAAATGATCAAATGACTTAAAACTTTTTATTGAAGAAAATATCATTATTAACTATAATATTTTTATGGAATTCATTAAAATAGACGATTTTAGCTTTGATTTGAGATATAAATCATCAATTAATTCCAACAAATACAAATTGTATGATTTATTAAACATTTCATTAACCTCAAAATGACAGAAAAATGTCTAAAAATCATTTCAACTTTATTTTTAGAGATTAAGGGGTTATTTTTACATCGAATTAAAGCTGAAAACGCCCTCTTTCGTACTATATATAATAATCGACGAGTTTATCAAGGAAAAAGTTGACATTTTTTTATTTAAAGCAACCTCAAATTGTCAAAAATGGACAAACAATTTAAAACTTTCTTTTGAAGAAAATATCACTATTAACTATAACATTTTTATGATATTCATTAAAATAGACGATTTTAGCTTTGATTTGAGATATAAATCACCAATTAATTCCAACAAATACAGATTGTGCGATTTATTAAACATTTCATTAACCTCAAAATGACAGAAAAATCTCTACAAATCATTTCAACCTTATTTTTAGAGATTATTGTATTATTTTTACATCAAATTAAAGCTAAAAACGTCCTCTTTCGTACTATATATAATAATCCACGAGTTCATTAAGAAAAAAGTTGAGATTTTTTTTTTAAAGTAACCTCAAAGTGTAAAAAATGGTCAAATAACTTAAAACTTTTTATTGAAAAATATATATTTATTAACTATAATATTTTTATGGAATTCATTAAAATAGACGATTTTAGCTTTGATTTGAGATATAAATCATCAATTAATTCCAACAAATACAAATTGTATGATTTATTAAACATTTCATTAACCTCAAAATGACAGAAAAATGTCTAAAAATCATTTCAACTTTATTTTTAGAGATTAAGGTGTTATTTTTACATCAAATTAAAGCTAAAAACGCCCTCTTTCGTACTATATATAATAATCGACGAGTTTATCAAGGAAAAAGTTGAGATTTTTTTATTTAAAGTAACCGCAAAGTGTCAAAAATGATCAAATAACTTAAAACTTCTTTTTTAAGAAAATATCGTTACTAACTATAACATTTTTATGGAATTCATTAAAATAGACGATTTTAGCTTTGATTTGAGATATAAATCATCAATTAATTCCAACAAATACAGATTGTGCGATTTATTAAACATTTCTTTAACCTCAAAATGGCAGAAAAATCTCTAAAAATCATTTCAACTTTATTTTTAGAGATTAATATATTATTTTTACATCAAATTAAAGCTAAAAACGTCCTCTTTCGTACTATATATAATAATCCACGAGTTCATTAAGAAAAAAGTTGAGATTTTTTTTATTTAAAGTAACCTCAAAGTGTAAAAAATGATCAAATGACTTAAAACTTTTTATTGAAGAAAATATCATTATTAACTATAATATTTTTATGGAATTCATTAAAATAGACGATTTTAGCTTTGATTTGAGATATAAATCATCAATTAATTCCAACAAATACAAATTGTATGATTTATTAAACATTTCATTAACCTCAAAATGACAGAAAAATGTCTAAAAATCATTTCAACTTTATTTTTAGAGATTAAGGTGTTATTTTTACATCAAATTAAAGCTAAAAACGCCCTCTTTCGTACTATATATAATAATCGACGAGTTTATCAAGGAAAAAGTTGAGATTTTTTTATTTAAAGTAACCTCAAAGTGTCAAAAATGATCAAATAACTTATAACTTTTTTTTGAAGAAAATGTCATTATTAACTATAATATTTATATGGAATTCATTAAAATAGACGATTTTAGCTTTGATTTGAGATATAAATCATCAATTAATTCCAACAAATACAGATTGTACGATTTATTAAACATTTCTTTAGCCTAAAAATGACAGAAAAATTTCTAAAAATCATTTCAACTTTATTTTTAGAGATTAATGTATTATTTTTACATCAAATTAAAGCTAAAAACGTCGTCTTTCTTACTATATATAATAATCCACGAGATCATTAAGAAATAACTTGAGATTTTTTTATTTAAATTAACCTCAAAGTGTTAAAAATGATCAAATAACTTAAAACTTTTTTTTGAAGAAAATGTCTTTATTAACTATAATATTTTTATGGAATTCATTAAACTAGATGATTTTAGCTTTGATTTGAGATGTAAATCATCAATTAATTCCAACAAATACAGATTGTACGATTTATTAAACATTTCATTAACCTCAAAATGACAGAAAAGTCATAAAAAACCTTTCAACTTTATTTTTAGAGATTAAGGTGTTATTTTTACATCAAATTAAAGCTAAAATCATCCTCTTACGAATGATTTATCATAATAGACAAATTTATCACGAAAAGAAACTAAAGTTTATAATTTAAAATTATCCTCAAAGTGTCAAAAATGAGCAAGTTACTTTAATAATTTTTTTCTAAGAAATTTGATTGTTAATGTTTAAGTTCTTATGTGTAATTGTAAAATCAATAGTTTTAGCTTTAAATTAAGATATAAATCATGAATGAATTCCCATAAATTAAGATTGTACGATTTATTTTTTGTTATCAAAATTCTTATAGCTAATTTTTTGCTATTTTCAGCTTGTAAATTTATACTCTATGGGGGCGGGTTTTACAAGAAACTTGGTAATTTTCGTTTTAATCGTTAGCGTCATCATTTATTTATGTTTCGGAGCCCTCATCTTTTCCGCCATCGAAAACGATTATGAAGCAGCTGAAGTTATTAAATTGAGAAACCTAAGACAGAGCTTTATGTCCAAAAATCAATGTGTAAAAGGTAAGATATATTATTTATTAATAATTTTTAGAGTTAAAATAAAAAGCTTAATCTATTAAATTACTTAATAAATTCGAAAATCGCAAATTAAATTAATAAATTTAAATAAAATTAAAATTTTCTCGCGCTCCTTTTCTTGGAATTGAAAAATTCTAATCAATCTTATTAAAATTACGCGATCGTAGTCATTGAACTCGGTGCTAGTGCACTGTTACCCGGTGAGATCATATGATCCGAAGAAGTCGGAGTCAAGTAAACACACACACGAACCCAAGTCCAGTTTACGCTTATGTCTTATGTAAAAAGATAAAAACTTTCTTATGTATACGTAACATATATCGCTATAATACATATGTACATTATCTATGTAATTTATGTACGATAATAACTAGAGTAGGAATGGTCATCTATAAATAAAGTAAATGTAATAATAAAATAATAAAATGTATTAACGAAGTATCTGGAAATCTTGTGGCGCGGTGTTGCCGCACCATTTCTTAAACTAATCAAGGGGTATATAAATGCCTCGAGTTCTTTATGATGATTTTGTAGTAATTATTTGACCGCTACACCGATAAGATTCGAAAAATCTTAAATTGCGGAGCTTTTTTATTGGCTTCGATTAAAGGGATTCTCCTTGGAAGATTGATTGTAAGGTAACTTTATTTTTCAAATTACTTTGAGATTGCTAAAGGGAACTGTTTTAACGGCATTAACTGCTTTATCGACTTTTAACTGTAAATCCCTGGTTGTCAATTTTATAATTTTAAAAATCAACTAATAAGAGCTAGTTAAAATGTTTCAAAAAGATTATAAAAACATATTTAATTAACCTTAAAATGATAGAAAATCTCTAAAATTGATTCCAACTTTATTTTTATATCAAATTTAAGCTAAAAGTGCCCCATTTTTTTCCAAATATATCTTAATCGACGAGTTTATTTAGGAAAAGAACTGTCAAAAATGAACAAATTACTTTAAAATTTTTTTTTCAAAGAAATTTTTTTATTAACTATAATATTTTTATGCATTACCCTAAAATAGACAATTTTAGCTTCAATTTGACATATAAGTCATCAATTAATTGCAGCAAATGCAGATTGTGCGATTTTTTTAATATTTCATTAACCTTAAAACGACAGAAAATCTTTAAAAATCATTTCAACTTTATTTTTAGAGATTAAGGTGTTATTTTTATATCAAATTAAAGCTAAAAACGTCGTATTTTGTGCTATATCTCTTAATCGATGAGTTTATTTAGGAAAAAATTGAGTTTTTAAACTAACCTCAAACTGTCAAAAAAGAACAAATTACTTTAACATTTTTTTCAAGGAAATTTTGTTATTAACTACAATATTTTTATGAATTATCTTAAAATAGACGATTTTAACTTCAATTTGAGGTATAAATCATCAATTAATTGCAGCAAATGCACATTATGCGATTTTTTAAATATTTCATTAACCTCAAAATGACAGAAAATCTCTAAAAATCATTCCAACCTTATTTTTAAGAGATTAAGGTGTTATTTTTATATCAAATTAAAGCTAAATACGTCCTATTTTGTGCTATATCTCTTAATCGACGAGTTTATTTAGGAAAAAATTGAGTTTTTAAAGTAACCTCAAACTGTCAAAAATGAACAAATTACTTTAACATTTTTTTTCAAGGAAATTTTGTTATTAACTGTAGTATTTTTATGATTTATCCTAAAATAGACGATTCTAGCTTCAATTTGAGGTATAAATCATCAATTAATTACAGCAAATGCACATTATGTGATTTTTTAAATATTTCATTAACCTCAAAACGTCAGAAAATCTCTAAAATTCATTCCAACTTTATTTTTAGAGATTAAGGTATTATTTTTATATCAAATTAAAGCTAAACAAGGCCTATTTTGTGCTATATCTCTTAATCGACAAGTTTCTTCATGAAAAAATTGAGTTTTTAAACTAAAAAGAAAAATTTTATTATTAACTATAATGTTGTTATGCATTACCGTAAAATAGATGATTTTAGCTTCAATTTGAGATATAAATCATCAATTAATTCGAATAAATACAGATTGTATGATTTATTAAACATTTCATTAACCTCAAAATGACAGAAAAATCTCTAAAAATCATTTCAACTTTATGTTTAGAGATTAAGGTGTTATTTTTACATTAAATTAAAGCTAAAAGCGTCCTCTTTCGTACTATATTTAATAATCGATTAGTTTATTAAGGAAAAAGTTGAGATTTTTTTATTTAAACTAACCTCAAAGTGTCAAAAATGAACGAATAACTTTAAACTTTTTTTTGAAGAAAATATCATTATTAACTATAATATTTTTATGAAATTCATTAAAGTAGATGATTTTAGCTTTAATTTAAGATATAAATCATCAATTAATTCCAACAAATACAGATTGTACGATTTATGAAACATTTCATTAAGCTCAAAATTACAGAAAAATCTCTAAAAATCATTTCAACTTTATTTTTAGAGATTAAGGCGGCATTTTTACATCAAATTAAAGCTAAAAACGTCCTCTTTCGTACTATTTATAATAATAGATTAGTTTATTAAGGAAAAAGTTGAGATTTTTTTATTTAAATTCTCCTCAAAGTGTCAAAAATGAACGAATAACTTTAAACTCTTTTTTGAAGAAAATATCATTATTAACTATAATATTTTTATGAAATTCATTAAAATAGACGATTTTACCTTTGATATAAGATATAAATCATCAATTAATTCCAACAAATACAGATTGTACGACTTATTAAATATTTTCATTAACCTTAAAATGACAGAAATACCTCTAAAAATCATTTCTCCTTTATTTTTAGAGATTAAGCTGTTATTTTTACATCAAATTAAAGCTAAAAACGTCCTCTTTCGTACTATATATAAAAATCGACGTGTTTATTAAGGAAAAAGTAGAGATTTTTTTATTTAAACTAACCTCAATGTCTCAAAAATGAACAAATAACTTAAATGCTTTTTTTCAATAAAATTTGATTATTAACTGGAATGTTATTACGCATTATCGTAAAATAGATGATTTTAGCTTCAATTTGAGATATAAATCATCAATTAATTCCAACAAATACAGATTGTACGATTTATTAAATATTTCATTAACCTCAAAATGACACAAAATTCCTCTAAAAATCATTTCAACTTTATTTTTAGAGATTAAGGTGTTATTTTTACATCAAATTAAAGCTGAAAATGTCCTCTTTCGTACTATATTTAATAATCGACTAGTTTATTAAGGAAAAAGTTGAGATTTTTTTATTTAAATTAACCTCAAAGTCTCAAAAATGAACAAATAACTTAAAATGCTTTTTTTCAATAAAATTTGATAATTAACTGGAATGTTGTTATGCATTACCGCAAAATAGATGATTGCAGCTTCAATTTGAGATATAAATCATCAATTAATTCCAACAAATACAGATTGTACGATTTATTAAACATTTCATTACCCTCAAAGGGACAGAAATACCTCTAAAAATCATTTCAACTTTATTTTTAGAGATTAAGCTGTTATTTTTACATCAAATTAAAGCTAAAAACGTCCTCTTTCGTACTATATATAAAAATCGACGTGTTTATTAAGGAAAAAGTTGAGATTTTTTTATTTAAACTAACCTCAATGTCTCAAAAATGAACAAATAACTTAAAATGCTTTTTTTCAATAAAATTTGATTATTAACTGGAATGTTATTACGCATTATCGTAAAATAGATGATTTTAGCTTCAATTTGAGATATAAATCGCCAATTAATTCCAACAAATACAGATTGTACGATTTGTTAAGCATTTCATTAACCTCAATATGACAGAAAAATCTCTAAAAATCATTTCATCTTTACTTTTAGAGATTAAGAGTAAGGTAAGGAATGTTAGGTACGGTTAGGTTTGTTTTGAAATGTCAATCATCCGGGTTAAGAATGTTGAGTGAGGTTAGTTTACTTTTGTAATGGCAATATACTGTGAAGGAATGTTAAATAAGGTCAGTGTTTTCAAATACCCATAATACCTTAAAGGAATGTTAAGTTAGGTTACTGAGGTTATGGGTTTAGATAGGTTAATAAATTCTGCCGTTTTGGTCACTTCATCACTATTTTCATTTGATTATTTATTAATCCATACTATTTTGACATCATAAAGTCTTATATTTGGAATTTGAGGGATCTTACATTCAAGTGACTAGCCACTGTGGACTTCAAGACTATAAGTCTGGTAATGTTTGTGATTTTATGCTTTGCTATATAATGTTTGCTTTTATGTGAATATTTTGAGCTTAAAGATGGCTTTCAGGTTTACAAATAATTTCATTAATTTTGCACAAATATTGTCCTTGTTCCATTTTGAATAACTAGAATTGGCTTTAAACCATACCAATGCGGTCGCTTTCCCCAATCAATATTGATTTCTTTTCAAATACGTAAACAATTAATTAATAATAATACGAGTTTCATGGTTTGCAATAATTAATTGGAAACTTCCGACACAAATTTGCTTGTTATCGCATTTCTTTATAACTCCCCTTTTGATAATCTTTGCTGAACTTATAAAATCTTCCTTTGCATTCTAATTAAAAATGAAATTAGTAAACACCAAACAGTGTTGAACCTGAATAAATAAATTAGTCCAAATAAATTAATATAATAAAATATTTTATTTATCAAAAAATAATGTTTTAAAATCAAATTTTTCTTATTTTTGCTTATTTGTTTCGTTTAATTGTAAATTTTTCTTTTCCGCATTAATCTCCGAATATAATCGTTCTTTTGCCCTGAATACTTTCGATTGAAGATAAAAACTTCCACCGGAATTTTTATCGTTTAACTCGAACAATTTTCGAAATTGTCGATCTACTATCTCTTTATCCACTTTATCCGTTATTTCGATATTTAAAATTTTCATCGCCTCGTCTAAACTCATCGACGATCGATTTAATCCATCCTGATTTAACTCCGTCCGTCGGATCTTCGCCATTTGATTACTCAGTTCGATTTCTTCGCGAAGCGATTTCGTCAACGTGTTATAAACGACTTTTGTACCGTTGATCGTTAATCGACCCAATATTTTTAACAAACGCCACATACCCGATTTTACAAAAATATTTTACGAAGAGAACCAGCACAAAAGGATTTTTTTTTTGAATTTTTTTTTAGTGTTTAACCCATGACTAAATTAATCTGATGAAAATATTTTCAAAAATATGTCACAGCTTGTCATAAATTTTTTTATTTGAAGGAAGATTTTGAAACATGAAGTATGTAAATTAATTACAGAAAAACCTTCACCAGTATAAAACAGAAAAGATATTATCTTAATATTATCTATTTAATACATAGAATTCTACTTAACCCAGATATGCCCATACAAATTTGGTGGTTGTTTATGAGTAGATGTTCTGAGAGGTTAGTGTTTAAGCTATACATAAACAAATTTTGTAAAGCAAATTAAAAATTTATTTTGAAAAATACAAAATTCAAGCCGTACTAGCGGTTTTATGAATCACCCTGTACAGTACGTACAGGGTGATTCATAAAACCGCTGACAGACTTTTAAAACGTTGATCAAAGCAATAGTTTTTAAGAAAAACACGCTTGTAGAAAATTTGTTAGATCAATCAAACAAAAGTTTTGTA